GGGAGGGAGGGAGGGAGGGAGGGAGGGAGGGAGGAAAGGAGGAAGGAAGGGAGGGAGGGAGGGAGGAAGGAAAGAAAGAAAGAAAGAGAGAGAGAGAGAGAGAGAGAGAGAGAGAGAAAGAACCCAGCCATTTGCGTAGGGAGCAAACATCATCTTGTTACTGAAGAAGAGGCGAGTGTAGAGGAAACCGCTGACCTGATTGCGTGAAAACACTCTGCGTTGACCCTGCCGTATCTTAAGATGCGCATCTCATACTTCATCTCCACAGACCAGCCTCCAACAGCTCCTCACATCACATGTTGGCACCTAGGGCTGCCAAGCCTTTTTATCCCTCACAGAAAACTGGAAGACACTCTTCTCCTCTGCACACTGCTCAAAATGACTAGCCTGGTCCACTTATTGGTCCCTAGGCAAGCCCTGCCTATTCTCATCCATACACATTTGTTCATGTCAGCTTCCCCTGCTAAGTGTGTCTTTCCCACACCCTAACAGAAATCACACTTTGTTCAGGAAGCTTTGTGTAATTACTCCTTATATATGTAGGTATTTTCATTTAGAGTTTGGGTTTCTAAATACTCATTTCAACCTAGTTCTATGCTGAGGATGTAAATATACTAAAATATGAAATCTCAGTATTAACATCCACTTAGATAATTTTAAAAATCCCTTTCAGGCCCATTACCAGAACCGTACTCAAAGTCTAACATTAAAGTACACTAATGAAACTGAGCAGTTTCTCCAGCAATTAAAAACAAACAATATAGACACGTACCTTTCCAGCTGCTTCTGATGTTTTTCCTCCCGGGCCTGAGCCTTCATCTGTTGTACTTCAATAGTATCAGGCTTTCTCCTTCGCATATACAGTTCATGGTTTCCCATACATAAAGCCAAAATCCGCTTATTGATTCTCAAACGAGGTGCATAGAAAACAAAATCCTGAATATAAAATATCCTTAATGTTAAAACCTTTCTGAATGATAGTGACTTTCAGAACTACTCAATTTCAATAGGAAGTAGAACTCTGGTGTCACTGCACATAAAGTTTAGGGACTATGAAATCACACATAACTCCAACCTAACTGGTTCCGCATCCCTTCATCCCTTACCCATTTTCTAAAGATGTCATTAATTCTTTTTCTATTCTCCAAAGAGTCATTAATTCTTTTTCTATTTTCCAAAGAAACTACCAACAACTATCTTAAACCCAGAGAAAGGTGTATTTTGACATTACTGGTCTTTTACAACTGACCTTTCTCCATGGCTGTGTTTTAACCTAGAAATGGTCTTCAAATACGTACCTTTTAGGTAAGAAAGGTAATTACTAAAGTGTATATGACACTAGTTTTAAAAAATCTATCTCAACAAGAAGCCCCAAATATGAAAAACAAAGTTCAGAGTGCAAGACTACAGAGTTAATTTAGAAAGAGTTACCTCTACTATGGTTTGCAACCAATAAATGTTGTTTAAATTATTTCTTAGGAATGATTGCTAATATTCTTCTAATATCATTTACCAACTTATAATTAAATCAGTTAAAATTCTTACATCTTATTTAAAAAATGAAAACTTGTATTTTCAATAACACTTAATCCTGAGGAAAATCTAACCAGGCCACAGAGGCAGAGGATCCAGGCAGTCCTATGAGACTTGAAAAGCTGTGGGCAGATGGCAGGGGAGGACTCCCCCTTAGAGTGGCCTGGGGAAGGACGGAGGGAGGGTGGGACTGGAGGGAGTTGAGGGAGAGGCCTTCAATTGCGATATATAATGAATAAGTTGTTTAAAAAAAAAAAAAAAAAAAAAAAAGAGTATCTCTCAGAAACAATGTGACCAGTACCCTTCTTTAAGACTCCAGACAAAGTAAACAAAATATACTTACAGGTGCCTTTTTATCAATTGGTTTTATAACAAATTTTTTGTCATTAAATGAAATATTTCGAATCTCACTCCAGGGAAAACCAATTTTAGGTGTTAACCTTAAAAAAAAAAAAATACTGCTGTAAATTAAAAGCAGGAAATAGTGGGAAAATACACAGCTTTCTGGGACAGGTTAAACGAACGTCTTAAGAGCTCCAGATACTCAGTATATAACCCTACTCACATGATACTGCTGGTGCGATCTTTGAAAGGAAATTTAAATCACATAAAATAACAACCATTCAAGGTTTTCATAGATGTATCACTTCCCTAAAATTACCTAGGAAAAAATCAATCTGGTAAGGAGAGTATTGGACTTTACTTGATTTCACGCACAAGGACAGAAGTGGCACACTGCAAATGCAGATGTAACTTCTCATTTAATAAACAGACTCACAAGTAAACACTAAAACTACAAAGTACTCCGAAAAATAGAAATCATACCCAAAACTCAAAGTGGGATTAACTAATCTTTTACTGCACAAAAGAAAGCAATAAGGTCAATCATAACAACAACTTTTAAAAGCACAGCATAATTTGAAAGCCATTTGGACCATAGAAAACGACTAGCTCACTAAATGCCTATTTACTTACTTGTCATCATGCTCATAAATATTCAGACCCAAAGCATCAACACCCAGCCACAGTTCAGTACCCTTCTTATTCTTGATTTCAAAATAGTTGACACCATACATTTCTAGATCTTGCGCAATCTTCAAGTACTCCATCATCGAATCTTCCCTATTAAAATACAGCTGAATGTAATACATTAAAGGAGACACATCTAAACATTAAATGAAACTAAAAGAATACCGAGGGCCGAGTCCGGACTTGATATTTATTCATCTACATCAAAGGATGGGAAGTATAGCCTAGTATCATCACAAAACTTAAACATTCATCCATTCATTTAGAGAAAGTGTATGTGTGTGTGTGTGTGTGTGTGTGTGTGTAGGAGTGTGAGTGATACCATGTGTGAACCATAGCATATATGTAGGCAGTGTCAGTATCCTGGCTGAATAATTGAGTCATAAGAGATGTTACTAGGGAAGACTAAACAGTCTTGGCTAGCTTAATTACTTCAAGTATTCATGTTTTAAAATGGGTATTATAATTTATAATCACTCAAATGTTTTAAAGGAATCATACCCTACACTGAAAAATTGGCTTCATTACTAACACGAAAAATACAATTCTTGGGTCCTGATTATCCCTTTATTCTCCATATCTGTTATTTTTCTGACTAAATTTAATAACATTGTCATTTTATGTAGATAATACTTTTGATGAGGAAGAAAGAAAAACAGCCCTCACAAGTTGGGTCTCTCTCTTCATGTGGGCTCTGGGGATTCACTTCAGGTCATCAGGTGAAACGTCTTTAGCGGCGTGCTGAGCCTTCTTCACCAGCCCAAGATTTTTAAATGAGATAAAAATGCTTTAACTTAGAGAGAAATTTATAGAGAATAGTCACCCAGATACCTTAGCATTCCTCTGTGTTCTTCATGCCAGTTTTGTATTCTCTCCTCCCACTGTTCTTTTGTCAGTTTGTGTTGTTCCAAAACACTAAAAATAACAACAATCATAATAAATAATAATGTAGTCAATGCCTTTGTATTTCAAAAGGCAGTGTCCTTTCAAAGTCTCAAGAGCCCTTTCACAACGTGACTATGAGAGCTGTGATACACATCAGTACACATGCTAAAACTGCACAGAAAAACACAACTGAGTATATGCACCATGGAATAGCAGGGTGGTGGGCTGTGTCAGAATCAGTGTCCTGGCTAACTGCTGAAGTCACACAACATATTCTACGGAGAGCTAAAACAGTCTTAGCTAGCTTAAATTACTTCAAGTAATTCATGCTTTCAAATTGGTATTATGTAATTTACAAGCACTCAAAGGTTTCAAACAAATCATACCCTGGATTGAAAAGATGGCTTTCTTATTACTAACAGACAACTAAAGAAAAGAGAAAAATAAACTTCTTGGGTTCTGATTATCATTTATTCTGTATATCTGCTATGTTTGTGACTAAATTTAACATTGTCATTTTATGTAGATAATTCTGGTTTAAAAAGAAAGAAAGCATAAATTAAGCTGAGCATGGTAACAAACACCTACCACCCAATTACTTAAACTGACGCAGGCCAGTTCTGAACTTGAAGACAATGTGGGCTAACACGTGTTCACGGACCATTTGTGCTCTACATAGTCCTGTGCCATCAAAGAAAGAGGGCATACCCTGCATCGCCTGCCCACCCATGCACCTCTGGTCTGGCAACCTTTATGTTTCAGCTGCAAACAAGGTAACAGTATTCTTATTTTTCTACTCTTAACAACACAGCAGAAAAAGCTGTACGCTGAATAATGTGCTATGAAGAATGTACTCATCAGATTGCTCTAGGTCCTAGAATAATTACCCACTTTTGTTTATGATGGATCCTTAAGAGATCACAAATCTAAGGTCATGTCACTAGCAAAGAGCAGATTAGGTTCAGTTCCCAAACCTCATTCTTCAGTCATTTGTTTCCTATGCAGTGCATAGTGTCACAAAGTAACACTGCAGACTAAACCTTCTACACCTAGTTTAAAGTCTTTGCAAAATGCAGAAAACTTCATTCTATGGAAGAGATAGCTCTTGCCACTTACTATTATCACAGTGTTTATTACACATCTATCTGTATGTATTCCAATGTGTATAGAGCAGCAATAATTCATATCCTGTCAAGAGCAAATCATAACCTTCTGCTGAAAATCCTATAAACACGAACACAGTAAAACAGTTTCACAACAAATAAATCTGTGTTGTGACTAAGTCATGATCTTTAAAAAAAATAGTCTGACAACCTAAAAAAATCTTTTTAATAAATTTAGCATATACTTCTGGAACACAACTTTTAGAGAATATTAAATAAAGGCATTCTTTGCTTACCGCTGTGGTAGGAGTCTGTCATTAGCCAGGTAGCCTGGTTTGTGAATCTCTTTATTATAATCTCCATACTTGGCTTGAACAGCGTAGGAAGCCAAAAGAACTGCAGTTTCTGGTGGGCAATATATCTCATCATTTAAGATGGCTTCTTTAACTTGCAAGAAGAAAAGTCTCTGTGTTATTTCTTGAATCAATTCCTCAGAAACATCTTCAGGAAAGAATTTAGCTCTAAACTTGAACTGTAAAGGATTTTCTTTTTTAACATCTTGCTGTGTCACCTAGAATAGTAATTTCAAGTATAATCAACAAAACTTTAATGAATATATTTACATCATTTACACTGAAAAATGAATACATTTACATCATTTACACTGTAAATGAATACATTTATATCAAATCTGTCTGGAAGAAAGTATGTAGCAATGCTATATAAGATGATAAGTCTGTATACAGGTGCTAAAGAAGCTCATGTGCCCAGTCCTGAGGCCACCAGCAGCTCTAGCAGCCCAATCAACAGCCAGTCTGACTTCTTTACATGCCGGAGCTCATCCTGCAGCCCTTTACAGATGCACGCTCAGTTTTAACACATGTAATACCTGCTTCAAAGTTCTATTTCTCACATGCTCAGCTCACACTGTGTGGTGAAAGATGATGGTGCTTCAGTGAATTAAACAGCATGAATAATGATGAAGAGAGACAACTGCAAAAGGAGGCCTGGAGTTCGTCAGACTCTGCACTTTTTCAGCACAGATTTAATAAACACACCAGATTAACTTAATGTTACTATATACATCTTACCTTCTTATTCAGCTTAAGCCATGTAGAATATCCTTTGCTGTCTACATACTGCAGCCCAAAAAACCAGACCTCACGTAAACCAACTGTTTTTACAACCTATAAAACAAATAAATTCAATTCAATTTCATACCATGATCAGATGACACTTGACACTATAGACTACACATGTTCCTGTGCCACAAGAAAGGGGCTTTCCTTTAACACGTTCAAAGAACACTTCTGAAAACATCAGTTCAAGCTTTTTATTCGCAGTCCTGTTAAATTACACTCCTTGACTGTTGTCTGTCTTCATTTCCTTAGCTCACATCGGAGCCTCAACAAACAAAAGAACAGTCTAAATAAAGGCAGCAGCAAAGATACGGTGAGCCTATATTTCTATTTGATTCCCTCCAAGTGCCCCACCAAAACCTAGGGCAAAGCACATCACTTTGGTGACAGAGTCTGGTACCTTCAATGTTCTACTTTCACTGAGCAGAAACAATTCTTGGACTATGCTCCAAGTTTCACCAGCCTACATCATTGCTCAGTGAGGCTTTTCCTTTTGCTTACAATTCTGCACCTATATCACTCATTGAGTAATTTATTCTTTAAGGCCCACTTCAACTAACACTCTTTCTGTGAATAAATCACTTCTATCATAAAAATGAAATTAATCATTCGTTCTCTGAAGGTCCCAAAAATTTTATATAAATTTCAGAATATATACTCTCCTCTATATGGTGTGTCTCTTTATGCATCTTAACCTATTAAGTGTCTTAGCACTTAAGGACAGAGTGACACCACTATTTTATTCACCTTGAAACCCATGTCTTCTGATAGAATGATAAATGAATGTAAAGTCCCCAGGAAAGAGCCACACTATGTTAAAATTCTACAAGACTTAAAGAGTGGAGAGAGATTTGAAATGCTGCTGATGCAGTCAGACTGTCCTGTTACCAATAGTCCTTGTAACTGCCATTCATCATGCATGTCAGTATCTGACCTAACAACCTCTCAACTACCTGGTTAAAAAACAAGCACACAGAACACCTTCAGACTGTATTAGTTTAGCAGATTACAAACTGCCACTAACCCTAAGCTAAGAATGTTATCAGATAACATCTGAACTATGCGACAAAGTTTTTCCCTCTTTGCAGTAACCTATCTGGCTGCTGTTCCCACCAGTATATGTGGTGAGCGCTCTATGCTTCTTTCTGGTTACGTGACTACAGCAGTCCATGGAACCACTTGCACAGTGGGATGTATTCATAATTTCAATATGCATCCCTGGACCATAGTCATTCCTACAGGGATCAAAATTAAACCTATTCCCTTCTGAGGCGAGAGCTGTGTTGCATATGGACACTACATTCTAAGGACTGGAGTGGCAGAACTAGAATGCATACTGGGACACTCCCACATTATTCAAAAAAAGCCACCTGTATTTAAAATAAAATTAGAAAAATGAGGAGACATGAGATTTTAAACCTTTACAAAAGATTTAACCTCCCTTAAATAGTAAATATTCTTGGCTAATTTAAACAAAAAGGTTTTCGGGTTACTTTTATTTTATGTGTAAATGTTTTGCCTGCATGTGTCTGAATATCACATGTTTTGCTTTGTGCCACAGAGGTCAGAAGAGAACATCTGGTCCCCTGGACTTACAGAGAGTTGTGAGCTGCTAAGTGGATGCTGGAAATTGAACTTGAGTCCTCTGCTAGAGCAACAAGAGATCATCTCTCCAGTCTGGCTAATTTTTTAAAGGATAGGAGGCTTCTATTTTCAGGACAGAAAACCAAACTCTTCAGTTTACCTTCCCTTAACTGAAAATTTTAACTTCAATAATATAAATAAATAAGAAAAAGTAGCTTATACTAAAGATTGTCATTCTTTTAAAAAAGCAGAAATGTCTATCTAGGGGGACACGTAATACAGAGCCTCATACTAATGATGCAAAAAAGAAAAGAAAAAAATCAGTACCAAACAACAAAAAATGTTAACTTTGGCAAAGACAACATGATGGTAATATGGTAAACTTAACAGGGTCTATAAATCACCTCCGAAGCAAACCCTTGGCCGTGACTATGAGAGATTATCTGGATTAGGTTAACTGAAGCAGAAAGACTCACCTTGAATGTGAGCACGAGGATAGTACCATTCCACAGGTCACAGACCTGGACTCAGCAACAGAAAGGGCTGAACCTAGGCATTCATCTCTCCTTGCCTCCTAACTGTGAATGCAATGCGACCTACTCCCTCCAGTTCCTGCCATATCCTCTCTCTGATTGACTGAATTCTCCAACTGTGAGCAACAAGAAACCTCTCCTTCCTTAAGTTGCTTTTGTAAGGAATTTTCTCACAGCAACAAGATAAGTAACTGACTCAACAGAAGCACAGAAAGCATTCAAACTCAGAAAGTTAGAATAAGAAAACGCAGCAGAGAGATGTGAAACCAAGTAACTGGCCTTGGCTTCTGCCTCCCTGCTCTGATATTCACAATGCTGGCTAAATCTAAAGGCATGAACGTACATTCAGAAGGCAGTACGATAGAGGACACGGGGAGGTTAACTGTCACAACAGACACAATCGTCCAGAGAGCTCACTAGGAAATCCTAGACTAGGCCAAGCTCCCCAGTGGTTCCTCTTTTATCTAGACATTTTATCAGAATGTCTCATCTACTTTGGTAAGTAAAAACATGTCAGAAGCATTAACTGCAGTGGAAGTCTATTCACAAAGGATTCACAAACATGCCAGGAAACCAAACAGTGTTGATTTGTAAAGACTTTGCAAGAAATAAAATAAAAAATAGAAACACTTCAATTTTTTTTGTACCCTAATAGTTCTTCTTGCATATGAAGCACATGAACACTCTATGTGGTCCTGCATGGAGAAGCTAGCGAAATGGTTAGTCAACGGGGTTACGCAAAAGGACATCATGCCTAACATAGCAGTTGCCCTCAATCTAACATCACAATCAAAAGTAAGACAGTCCTACCTTTAAATACCAACTTCAGGGCGAAAATCGTAGGGAAGGGAGGTAGCAAAGGAACGCTAATGATGTGCTTTTTCACAGTGGGGATATGTGTTAATATAAGCATGGCAGGGAACCCCGTGGCAGGATCACGCAGGTAATATACGCTTCTGTGTAAAGACTCAAGGATGGTCTACAAATTTGACACTTAACTCTCAACGGCCTATACTGACAATTTTTTTTAAAGAATCTTGTTTGAACCAATAAATTCTGGTTTTAAAAAATGAGGCTTTTTTCTCTCTTTATTTATTTATTTTTACTGTGATGGTGTGAGAGGGCCGTTCCTGGCCTTACCTGAACCTAACCACTGGCCACCCTATATATTCACTACAGCCAAAGTACAGCCGGCTTCTAGATTCTGGTATTCAGGCTCAAGAAAAACTGTTAAAAAAAATACAATTTAAGAATTGCTGAAAAGAATGACAGGAAGCAATTTCAATAAGCTGGACCAGCATTCCAAATATGAACACACAGACAGAATGATCAATAAACATAACCTCAGTCATAAGTGAATCTTAAAGGAGCTGATCTTGGAAGTAGGAGGATGGTTGCTGGGAGCTGGGGAGAGCTGAGGCAGCAGTGTCTCACTACAGGTGTACAAAGTCACACTATATCATGACAGCCATCTGTTAATCTGTCATGCCTTTATGGCAGAAGTTTCTCTTGAGCACAAATAACATGCATGCTGAGGTCAAAGGACAATGTTCACGCAATGTAGGCTGTAAGAACCAAACTCAGGTTATCTGGCTTGGCAGAAGGTAGCTTTGCCTATTAAGCCCTTTTTATGCTTTTATGTGTTTTTGAAAATTCACTAAAGACTTATCTCCAAAAAAGTAGAAATGATAATATAACTAACTATTCCTAGAGTTATTCAAGCCTGAATGTGTACTCCCAAAGTCCCAAGTGCTACATTGCTGGATTATCGAGGAAGGCATAGGAAACATAAGATGCATACGATGGCATTCATGGGATGGTACCAAAGCTGCATCATTTGGAATCAGAGAGATGGCACATGGGTTAACAGTGCTTGCTGCTAAAGTGTAAGAGTCTGAGCACAGGTTGTAAGCCCCATGTGAACAAGCTGGTCCTGGCCATTCACACCTGTAACGCTAGTACTGGGAGGGGCACAAACAGGACTACTGTGGTTTGCTGGCCCAGTCTTACTCCAGGTTCAATGACAGATACTAGCTCAACAAAATAAGGCAAAGAATGGTTTGATATCACCTTAGCATGTGCACCCCATGAAGACCACACATATACATATACCATATACATAGAGTCACACAGTCTCAGTCTCTCACAAATGTCGCATGCTTTGTGAGATTAAATGATACCTGATCAAAAAGTTGTTTGCCAGTTGTATTGGGCTGAATGGCAAATTCTAGCTCAGCATCCATTGTAGTTACTCTTACATTAATCTATAATAAAACCAAAAAAGATAGTGATTAGGAAAGAACACATTTATGAAATAGTAAACATGAGAAAATCAATTCTTTGATTACACTATTTCTGTGGAACAGGATGCTAGGGATCACATCCAGGGCTTTGTACATGCTATACAGATTTCTACAACTAAGCTACATCCCCTTGCCCTTGTTTTTGTTTGTTTGTTTGTTTGTTTGTTTTTTTGAGTCTTGCTATACAGCTCAGGTTTGGCCTACTTGCAATGCTCCTGCCCATCAGTCTCTCCACTGCTTAGATTACAGGTATATACATGTATAGTTAAAAACAGGAGGTAGGGGGACAGTACTGGGAAATGAAACCAAGCACTCTACAATGGAGCCACAGGCCATCCCTAACATTTTATTAAAAGTGATGCAGTTTGATTCTTATTATAGGATATCTTAAAAAGAGGGAAAGAAATTCTAAATACCAATCTCAAAAGAACTGCTGGAGAGTCATCAAGATGGCTTACTGAGCAAAGGCAGACACCTACTGCCAAGCCTTGATGACCTAAGTTCAATCCTGGTACCCATAGAAGAGAACCAACTCCCATAAGACTCCTGGGTATTAAATAGCAGAGCAGATATTGAAGCTGAATTCAACTCCTGATTCTTTGAATGTCATCCACTACCCCCCAGTTCATTATAAAATGTGTATGTGAAGATATCATCAGGAACCTTTTTACTTGGCGTAATAATTAAATGATAAATTGAACAACTTGCTTTTAGATTCCAGTAAAGATAGCTATCTTTAAGAAAATAAATGATGCCAGACACAGTGGCACACACCTGTAATCCCAGCACTCGGGTGAGGCAGAGGCAGGCGATCTATGTGAGTTGGGGGTTAGCCTGGTCTACAAAGTGAGTTCAGGATAGCCAAGGCTTCACAAAGAAACCTTGTCTTAAAAAACAAAAACAAACAAATAAAAAGAAATGACAACAAATGCTGGTAAGGCTGGGAAAAGAGGAACCCTTTCATTGCTGGTGAAGTCACAGTGGAAGTCAGTACGGATGTTCTTCAAAAAACTAAAAGTAGAACATATGGTCCAGTTATGTCACGCCTGGGCCCACAACTAAAGGATTCCAAACTGAGACAGCAGAGACACTCGCACACCCATGTCTGCTGCAGTCCAATAGGCAGGAAATGGAATGAGCCGAGATGTCCTTTAACAAATGGATACACCCCCGACCCCAAAATTGTGGTACCTATACACAATGGCATTTTATGCAGCCATAAAGGAAAGTGAAATCAAGACATCTGTAGGAAAATGGGCGCAACTGGAAATCATCACGTTAAGCTAAGTAAGTCAAGACTCAGAAATACAAATACTACGTCATGTTTTCTCTAACATACAAAACAGAAAACCTGGATTTTAGTTTGTATGAGAGAGACAGAGAGAAGAGGGGAGGAAAGATCAAACTAGAAAGCAGATCATGAAAGAGGAGAAAGAAACCTTCAAGGTGGGGGGTAGGACAGGGGAACACTATTAGGAAGGATAAGGAGGACTTACTGTATGGGGAAGGAGACACAAGAGAGGGCAGACGGGGAGAGAAAGGAGACCCAAGTACAACAGAAAGAAATAAAGGTATGATGACAAAACTTCGCTTTTTAAAAAATTTTTAAGCAAAGAATTTCTCTGACTGGTTACAGTTAAGACCCACAGCAGCTCTTGAGATCAAGCAAGTGCTTGAGATCACGTCAGTCAGCATCCTAGCATGGAGTGGGGTGGCGCTCAAGAGCCTCCCACCTCTGAGGAGCTGCTGACAGTTGATGGCTCTGGGGAGAAGGGTCTGTTTTCTTTAAGGGTGTGACCCATGGCGGGTTGGCCATGACATAATGAATGGTCCCATCACAAACTGGACTTGAATTACTAAAAAAATTAGAAACAAGAGGACATAAAGCTAAAAAGGAAAAAGAAGGTATGGTGGTTCTGGGAAGAAATAGGGAAGTGAATTGGGATGGGATGAATATGATCAAAGTACAAAGTATCAAAGAATAAAAGGTATTTAAAAGATAAAGATGCATATGTGTGTTTCTGTGTGCTGATATATGCCCTTTTGTGGGTGCAAGTGTCAAGTGGGTCCCAGAAGCTTCAGATCCCCTGGAGCTGGAGTTATAGGAGGTTGTGAGATGGCCAATAGGGATGTCAGGAACTAAACTCAGGTCCTCAGCAATAGCAGTATGTATGTTCTTAACCAATGAGCCAGCTTTCTAGTCCCAAGAATATTTTTTTTCTTTTCAGTTTGTGAAAACTATTTCACTATTTTCCCTTTTATTATTTTAATTTTATTTATTTTACACCCTGACCAGTTTCCCCTCCTTCCTCCCCTCCCAGTCTCTCCCCATCAACTTCCCCTCTTCACTGTCCACATTCCTCCTCCACTTCTCTTCAGAAAAGGGCTGGCCTCAACTGACATCAACCAGCCATGGCATATCATGTTGCAGTTAAGACTAGGCACCTTCTCTTCTTTTAAGGCTAGAAAAGGCAACCCAGGAGGAAAGGGTCCCAAAGGCAGGCAACAGACTTCAAAGAGAAAGAAAATGATCACAGGTATACAAATCTAGGCTATCATCAATACCACTATCACAGTATCAAAGCTAAAAATATGAGAAAGTTTACAGGCGTACGGGCCCTGCATACCTCTCACTATTTTCTTCCCAACAATAAGTTACATTTATTGAGCACTAAATGTATATTAGATTTTTCTATAATTCTTGTCTCCATCCTTGAGTCAATAAAATTATATCCCTGTTTTATATGAAGGAAATCAAGGGCAAAAAGGATTAAAAACAGAAGTCACACAGATTAAGTATAAAAGACTAGATAGAAGCAGACAGCTTGGTCCCAAATTTCATTAATTTTAAGCTTAATTGTACTGTCACCCATATTTATTCTTCACAACCCACATATTTCTAAGCAGTATCAAAAAAAAATACACTTACTGGTTTCGGCATTTTCTTTTTCTTGTTTGTTACCTTCTTTAGAAACTGTTCAGTTCTATAAACAATTATAGCCTGTTAAAGAAAAGAAAACATACTATATTATCTTTCACATTAGGTTTAGCTCTACCTTGCACAAATAAAATAAAAAGTGGAGTACTTTAAAAACAGGTTAGAAGTACGGCATCCTCTTCCGTTCACGTTCGGCTAGCATATCATATCCCCTAAAAAGCCTGGTTTACAGCACTGAAAGCGCTGTACATTTCAAACAGCAAGAAAACATGATTGTTATGGACCTAAGGACTGCCTCTCCCATAGAAATTCATCCATGCACCCAGCCTTGTGTGGAAGGGGACAGTACAAATGAAGGGCAGCCTCCAGGGCTAAGTAAACTCAAGAATACTTTCCAACTTTTCTCTCTGATGTAAGATAGTTTTTTAAAAATTCTGTTCAAAATTATTTTTCTTGAAAATTATTTTTCATTTTGAAATTCTAAAATCTGAGAAAAATACATAGATTATTCATCTAAGCTGTGGAAGGCAGCCTCAGCTCTGCATAGCAACATGGTACTTACTAGTCCCCAGCTAGCCAGAGGTCTCCACAGAAACCTACAATGGTCCTAAGCTATTCTTTCTCTAAGGCAACACATCTTAGTACAGAAGGACCATCCTGTAGTCCTGGGATAAACATTCTTTCTAAGAAACATCAACAAAAATGAGTTTGCCTTTCTGAGATAATAAAGGGTTGCCTTTATCATCTGAGCTGTCTAAGAAAAGAAATTGCAGCATCAAATCTGTGACTAATGTTGTATCAGAGACATTAAAGTTAAGTTTATGTAGATACTATCACTGCCAAGATATTTGTAGACCCAACTAAATTAACACATATTCAAATAAGGCAATTTCCCTATATTTTATATTCAAGCACATGACAAAAAAATGTCTCTATACAGAAACTTCCTTTGGAGCTCTGTAGGTTGTGTTTGGTGTTTTTATCTGAGTCATTGGACAATGACATTCAGGTAGAAGCATAAAATCCCCAGAGTTCTTAACTTTTTCTAGCCTAGTCGCTATCACCCCCTACATTTACAGTCTGATGGGCCAAATTTGCTCTTAACTCTTTCCATCTGAAGTGTCCTCCCCTTAGTTCAGGTATCATAAACAGGCCTTGATTTTTGCATAGTTATCCCAGCATTGGGATTCAAAGCAGGAGGACAGAGTGTTCTAGGCCAAAGTGGACTATATAGTGTGTTTCAGGTCAGCCTGGGCTATATAACGTACAAAAAAGAAAGAAAGAAAGAAAGAAAGGAAAGAAAAGAAAGAAAGAAAGAAAGAAAGAAAGAAAGAAAGAAAGAAAGAAAG